GAGTCCCCGAAGCGCAGGCTGGAGGAGGGGGAGGAGGCGCAGTCGCTGAAGGACGACTCGTTGTTGTTGTCCTCTTCGCTCTGCCCCTCCAGGCCGCGCCTGTGCCGCGGGGAGGGGAAAGCTGGGGTCCGCACCTCCTTCAGGGCGCAGGCCTGCGTGTCCGAGGGGCCGGCCTGCTGGCTCTTGCGCTTCTTCCTCCCCGGAATGCCCTTCTCCTGCTCCCGGCGGCCCCCGCTCACCTCCCGCAGCGGCCGGTGGCGGCTCTCGGCGCACAGGGGCGCGAACTCGCTCCCCACCTTGCTGCTGATCATCTCCACGTCGGCCGGGAAGCTCTTTTCTGCCTCCATGGGCTCGGGGTTGGCCAGCGCCCCCTTCAGGTGCTCGTGTCTCCGGGAAGCATCAGACGGTACCTCACTCTTCATGGCGGCTGCAGCAGGAAGGACTTGGGAGGCCACAGCACTCAGGGGTCCATCTTGGACCGGCGATCCCCTCAGACCTGCGAACACAGGACAGAGGTCAGGGCCAGACACGAGAGCACACAGCCATCAGCTTTCAGGGGGAATGGCAGCGCAAGGAGGGGACCTGCCAACAGCTTCCTGCTCCTTTGATTACTGTGGTCGCGCATAAACATGTACCAGGTTTCATTATCGGCATGCATCGTCACAGTCTTCTCCAAGAGACGTGACAAACTAATAAACACAGAAGGTTAAACTGAAAGGGAGGGGCCTTCTTCTGTATTCAGAATTGGGGCTAGGCATCATTTCTGGCAATGCATGACTAAAGACTGGATTGTAAACCAGTCCAGGGTACCTGCTTAAACTGTAAATAAAGGCAAAACAATAACATAACACCATATTATTGAACACATTCTTTGAGCTAAGGTCACTTTCGTAACTCACAATTGAATACTAGTCCTAGAATTAAAGTCCCAGTTTCATTGGCAACTGTAACTAAGTGCAACAAGTCGAGTGATACAATTAAGCCTGTTACAACAGAACCAAGTGAAATAAGAAAAGAAGACAATGCATTTAAACAAGCCCAAAAAAAGCATCTTTACTTAATATCCTAATCAAAGAATTAGCTTTAAGCAAGTCATCCAAAAAAACAGGTTTTACCATGCAGCTTATGTGGAAACCAACCCTGAATTGACTCCACGTGCCTATAAATGTCAATCAGCAGAAATAGGCCACAACACACCCAGGTGACCATGTGCTATTGCTACTGTGTGCAGTGATGAGCATAAATCCAATATCAACAACCTGGGAGCAACCAGCCCACAGATTAGAAAGAATGCAGAATGTGTTGCAGGAGCAACAAAGAGAGGAGGTTCTAAATGCCACTGAATGTTACTGACATTTAAAAGCTCCTCTGACCCCTAAGGGTCCTGCCATTTGCTCCAAAGTGCTTTTAAGTGTAAGACGTATTAGACGGTCTCTGAGGGTGGGTTGGATGTTTCTTGTGCAACAAGGTACCGAGTGAAGGAACCGTGTATTCTGGCTCATTGCTCTAACAAAAATAACCCCATGCAAGGCAGCCTGACTCAAGACCATGAGTCTAATAAGGGAGTCACTTTAACAGTGGTTGCCAGCCACAGTTCATCTCCAGAATCCAGAGGGAAAAAATGAAATGAGTTTGAAGTGAACGCAGCCCATGCTTTAGCATGGAAATGGTCAGCTGCTGTGGAATATTTATGTAGTATTGAGGAGGAGCTCTATTCCATGCAAAAGTCTGCATGTTGACTCCCCAGGATCCAGACGGGAGTCCAGACAGTGACCAGGAAGAGGCCTGCTCAACAGTTTATAACAGAAGCAGTACAGGGTGAAAAACGCAAAGATTTTCATGTCACTGCCTTCTGACTCGAATATTATTCATTTAAACTCAGATGTATTAAAAACTAAGTATGTGCTAACATTAATTAAGGTTTAAGTGAATCAGCTGTTTTCCAGCTAAAATGCTTTAGCTCTCATTCAGTACGCACAAAAATGCATTTGGTATGCTACAGCACATACCTGCCTAACTCAGCCGAATCAACCCAACACCCCACCATACTCCAATGCCAGACAGATCCTAGCAGATCGAACGACAAGGAGCCAGCATGCTGCCTCTCAGTTTCTCATTAATGGTGCTACAGTACAGCACAGCTGCCTTTAACACAGGCCTCCTCCAGAGCAGTAACTACAAATTGGAAAGATGCTGGATTTATGACTCCGCTCATGAAATAAATGCATTTACACAGCACACGAAAAGCCAACCAACACAGAACACATCTGCCTGCACACAGAGATTTGGCCTGTGTAGGAGATTGTGCCCCACAAAATGCCAGATGACCACAGAGACCTGCTAGACTCATCAAACGCTAATCTTTTTTAGTGTTTCAACTTCAATGGCTTGTGGTTGCCATCATCAAGGTGGTTACGGGCAAATATGATGGCTTTTTAGATCATTTACTAGGTTCAGTTGACAACTGATAAAATGCTCCTGAGCTGCAACCATCACACCTAACAGTAATCAGGTGGTAAACAGGCCAGCCAGAGCATGGAGATGTTTTTTACTGCTGGTAGAGTGATCATTAAAAGAGCAGAGGACTGAAATGCAGGATTTATGAGGCAGAGGGGTTGGACAGGCCTTTGCTAAGCAGCAGTTGTTGAATTACAGTACAGATAAAGCAGGACACCATGAAATGCCTTTCCAACACGTGGTCCTTGGATTAAAATGGAAAGTTAAAAGAAGTGTGTGTGTGTCTATATACATTCTCGCAAGCAACTCAAAACACCTTTACCTGTGCCAGTTTTAAAGAACTGACCCTACCATATATGGGTGTTATCTAATGAAGATTGTATATTTACTGGCTACCACAGCAGTATAGACTTTCTAAAACAATTATCATTACAAAAATGATCAAGGATCACAGTGCAGTGTGAAGGAACTAAAAAAATCTAACACCCAGCCTACATACTCTGCCCAGTTCTCTTTACCCATATTTGATATTATTGTGGTGGGACTGTCCCACTCTTTTCACAGCACACAGAGGAGCCGGGGGTTTAAGGAGACCCCAATAAAGTGGCAGGGCTCTTGGGCATTCCCTCACTGCCTCCCTGGGTGTGATCGTGAGTGACCAGTATCTTGTTTCTGCAACATGGCTCACACCAAAGGGTGGTGACAACCATGCCTAGCACCTCAGGAAAACAGCCACCCAGCTGAAATTGATCAGGGGTCTGCCCTGATCAATAGCCAGCTTCAGCACACAGAGTGCAATCGCTTAAAAATCACTTGGTGGCTCCAGCGCAGGGCTTTGCAAATGTGGAATATTTACTCCCCATTTTACAGTTGCATAACCAGAAAAACACGGAAATACTTCACATAGACAAAGTTAGAACTGAAGAGATACTTAGATAAAAGCTTTGTTTCTTAACATTTTACACACCATGTCCACTTTGCACCAATTTCCCCATGAACTGATATAAATCCAAAAAAAAACAAATACATCAATACCTGAATAAAATGTGCCTGGCTTTGAAGCCTTTGTGGCGTACTGTATGTGCTTGACAGTATTAACACTGGCACCTTTGTGTACTTCCTGCACATCTGTGACCTGTGCTCTCTGCTACAAGTGCACAAACAGAAAAAGACATACTGAGGGCTTTGTAAAAAGTCACACTGTTATTCAGTCTGTTAATTTCGCAAGAAGCAAAGTGAAGGGGATACCTGGGTTATCTCCTGAGCTGTGGGATATCACCAGGTGGGTCAATGCACGAGCACACAGAACAGGAGAACTATGAGTTTTAAATAACTGCAACTTCTTGCCAGGCTAGACACGTCTTACTGTAAACAGCCCAAATGTGAGCAACAGTGCCCCAACATAGCAATGCTCTTACTAAGGATATTGGTTCTTCAATAAGATTATTTTTATAAATGTCACCAGGCTTGACATCCTACAGGTCAAATTACCCTATCACTTGCACTTAATCAACTCATTACAAATGAGGTAAAGTCGTGGTTAAGAAACTGTTACTCAGGTGCATCACAGTCATTTATGATCGATTTGCGAAAAACAAAAATCTGTGCACCTTTTAAAATAAATATGTGCCTAAAGAGTGCTTTTTGATGCTCACTATACAGAAATAAGCACATCTTTAAATGCAAATAGTTACCATGTCCAACACCATGCCCCTGCAATATTTCAGATCTGCACTGAAAGGCCAGCCAATTATTGTGGCACAGCTGTGCCAGAGGTGTAAATGGCAAAGCCAACCAGAACCGGGAACACCTCTTATGACCAAGAGGATCAACCTTAACCAATTGAAAGTCTTTCCACTTACAAACGCCTGGGTTCTCCACCACTTCTGTAGGCTTCTCAGCCACAGCCAGCAAGTGGCGCCAGCTGGACTGAATCCTATAATCCCCCAGGCTATAGGAGCTCATCCTACAATCCAAGCAGGGGCGTGTATTCTTGAAGGCAACAGTGCAACCATAAGCAATGCTGGGTTCAATATCATTAATGTGTGCAGTTAGCTGATCAGGCAAAGAAATCCATCTGGTTGTGAGCACCCAGCAACGGACTACTCTAGACAGTATGCGATCTTCCACATTTCTAAATATAACAAATCCCTGCAATCCTATCTTAGCTGGCTCATGGATATTGCTTCGGTATCAGTTTATTTCTTTGTGTTACACAATACCAGGCATCCACTTGCTCCAGCTATGTAAGCAGTATGGAAATCCATATAATGGCTGGTGTTAATATTTGCATCTGAGAGAGAAATGACTGCCCTGCTGGACAGTGCATACTTAACCCCCAGCTTTCATTACCCTTGTAAATGTATGCAGCTGATCTTCACGGGTGCATACCAATGGTGATTGGAACTGCGCTGCATTTTAAGATTGCACTAGAGCACCACAAACTGCAAACACAGCGCCTCTGGGCAGAAGCCTTTCTCACCCTCCTCCTACTTTGCTATGCATGATAAACTCAGGTGACACCCCCAAAGGCCAAGACCTCCTTGAGAAGGAAAGGGCTGGTGAATTCCTGCCGTCTCCTTGGAGCTATGCCTGTAAGTGGTAATCATAGAAAATCCTCCTGACCTGGTTGCCAGAAGCACAGAGAGATCAAAACATCTGCTGCAAGAACAGAGAGAAACTCCTGTTTGACAAACACCAAGAAGTGTTTATGTTAACTGGTACATACATTGGAGTGCAAGAACAGCCTGTGCCACATAGCTACTACATTTGTGGCACAAACCCTCTAGTAAATCCTGCATATTTTTTAATAAAACAAAATGAAAAATCAGCAAAATCGGTAGCTCCAGACAGGCCAGAATGATGCAGAACAGACTAAATGGGCATAATAGCCTCCGCTCATTTACAAAAAAATGTATATTCATTATTGTCCTGTTGCCATTAAGGTGTCAACACTGCACTGTATTTCAGATGAACTGCCTGGACTACATGTGACTAGACCTTTAGCCTACAAAGCAGCTGGGAGACTGCCTGACAGAG